TTTGGGGGGGGGGGATAGAAAATTTCTTAACTGCATGCCATTCATTGAACCTGTGCTTGTACTAAAAGTCCAGCCCCTGTGTCTCTCCCTTTCCTTCTGGCTTGAAGACCTGATAGGCAGCAGAGGAGGATGTTAGCTATAGAAGGCCACGTGGTATTTCTTCACCAAGGACTAAAAATGCATAGATTTAAAAAAANAAAAATAAAAAAAAAAAAAAAAAAAAAAAAAAAAAAAAAAAAAAAAAAAAAAAAAAAAAAATTAAAAAAAAAAAAAAAAAAAAAAAAAAAAAAAAGCAGACATCATACATTTCAGGCTTTGCTCCCAAAAGAACAGATTCTTGAGAAAGAAATTTGGAAACGAAACATCACAGGCTCTGCACCGCGCAAACATTGACGTGGCCGCGGGGTCTCTTGTCCTATTGTTTTTTACGCACACGCACAGGCACGCACGACGTCTGAACCCCTACGTGGCCGCGCATCTCTGTCCTGTTGTTTTTACGCATGTGCTCACGCACGACGTGTGGACCCCTACGTGGCTGCGTGTCTGTCTTATTGTCTTTTACGCACGTGCTCATGCAAGACGTGTGGACCCCTACGTGGCCGTGCGTCTCTGTCCTATTGTCTTTTACGCACGACGTCTGAACCCCTACATGGCCGTGCATCTCTGTCCTATTGTTCTTTACGCACGTGCTCACGCACGACGTGTGGACACGTACGTGGCCGTGGGTCTCTGTCCTATTGTCTTTTACGCACACGCTCGCACACACCCACCCGCACCCACACCCACACCCACAGACACAATGTGGTTATCACCAAACACATTCAGGTCAAACTTATAAAGCTGAGTCTACGAGGAGAACCAAGGGATGAACACAGTAGGAACCCAGGCAAATGGGCAAGGTCAACTCGACAACCGGACAGCTTTGCAAAACGTCCTACTGTGCGCCGGCTTCCAGTTCTTCCAGTTGCTTAGGTAACGCCAGGTCCACGACTGTCCAGTGTGCTCCGACCCGGGGTATCTACATGCCACGTGGGTTCGTGTGGCTCAGACCCGGGCACATCCCCCAGGCGGCTCCTCAGGGCTGCGTGTGGGGACCAAACAGAACAAAGGATCTGGTTAGTTTCCAAAAAAGTGGGTAAGTTGTGTAATAATATTAAGAACACCAAAGAAATCCAACTATCTTTAATTTTTATTTTATTTTATTTTATTTTTTTAAGTATTGATTTTAGAGAGGGAGCTAAAGGGGAGACAGAGGGGGAGGGAGGAATGCATTTGTTGTTCCACTTATGATTCATTGGTTCTTCTTTTTTCGGTCTGACTAATCTTTTTATTTAATATATCTTTGTTCTTGTTTTTAATCCACACCAGAGGATATTTTTTCCCATGGCTTTTCAGAGACAGTGGAAGGGACAGAGAGAGAAACACCATGTGAGACAGACACGTGCATGGGTTGCCTTCCATCTGCACCCCGACTGGGGCTGAAGATCAAGCCTGCACCCCAGCTACGTGCCCTTGGCTGAATTCGAACCCTGGGACCCTTCATTCTGCCGGCCGATGCACTAACCACTGAGCCAAGCTGGTTAGGGCTAAATATATCATTACTGTTGAAAGTATTACAGATGCCCCCAATTTTCCTTTGGTGGGCCCCCGGCACCCTGCTCCTGCCAGCACCCCCCAGGCCTTCTCCACACGGTTGTCTGTGTCCACTGGTTATGCAGACATGCATGTGAATTCTTTGGTTCATCTCTTCCCAATAAATGATGGAATACTACGCAGCTGTAAAAAGGAAGGCTCCTGCCCGGCCGGGCCTGGCCCAGCGGTTGAGCATCGACCCAGGATCCAGACGATCAGGGTTCGATTCCCGGTCAGGGCACATGCCCGGGTTGTGGGCTCGATCAATGACTCTCTCATCATTGATGTTTCTATCTCTCTCTCCTTTCCTTTCCCTGAAATCAATAAAGATATTTTTTTTTTTTTTAAAAGGGAAGGCTCCTTGGTTGATTCTTACACGTGCCCTGACCCGAGATGGAACCTGCAACCTCTGTGTATTGGGAAAGGACTGTAACCAACGGAGCTACCCGGCCGAGGCTGTGGTTGAAATTCTTATTGCAAAGATCTACAAACTTGAATTCTAAAGAGGGGGGGGGGCGTAGGTATGCTTCCTAAAAGAAATGGAACAGTATGTTAAAGATGAGCTTTATTTATTTTTAAATTTATTTCCGAGGAAGGGAGAGGGAGGGAGAGAAACATTAATGATGAGAGTCACGGATCGGCTGCCTCCTGCACGCCCCTTACTGGGGATCGAGCCCACAACCCGGGCATGTGCCCTGACCGGGAATCGAACCCTGACCTCCTGGTTCCTAGGTGGACGCTCAGCCAGTGAGCCACATGGGCAAAGGTGAGCTTTAAATGTTATATGATACCTCCATCCACTGAGTTATCCCCTCCTTACCCAAGCTAAGAAAGGAGATAAGCTGCTCACCCAAAACGGGATCCTTGTTTCAATGTGCTTATCACGAAGGAAACTGAAACGGAAAATGATTAGAATCCTGCCTGGCCGGCGGCCCTAACGTCTCTTCCACACACATACGCTGAAAAGCAGGCAGGGTAATTCCAGCAGAGATAAAGAGTGAAGTCAACGGCTATCCATAATCTCTGGAGAGCGGTCCTTGAGCTGAAGCGGCCTCTCGACGGCATGTGATTTCGCTTCATGAAAAATTATTCTGTTGCATGATACGGACACACCTCATTGCTCTTAGCCAAACACGCCAGGCCTTTGTTTCGCCTCGTGTGCAGTTTACTGTCGGCTGAAACATGCCTGAGAGCGGTTAAAATATTCATGTGTCGGGGCTTTTCCAAAGGAAAGAGCAGAATCCAAATGTGTCGAATAAATAGAAAGCCACGGGATCATGAAATGGTGGCGATGCTTTTTAGTGTATGTGTTTGCGTGTTGTTTTTTTAATTGTCACCCGCAGATATTTTTTCTATTGCTTTTTCAAAGAGTGTGGAAGGAGAGAGAGAAAAATCAATGAAACAGACACATTGACTGGTTGCCTCCCCCATCGCTCATCACCTGGGGCTGGGGATTGAGCCTGCAACTGAGGTTCGGTGCCCTGGGCTGGAATCGAAAGCCGGGACCCTTCAGTCCTCGGGCCGATGATCTAACCACTGAGCCAAAGAGTCTAAGGCATGAAAAAGTGTTTTGATTTTCAACGGCTCATCAAGCCAATGTCATCCAACACTGTCCCCAACATTGAACCCGAGGCCATTAAAAATGATTCCAGCCCGGCCAGGCGTGGCTCAGTGGTTGAGCATCAACCTAGGATCCAGGTGATCGGGGTTCGATTTCCGGTCAGGGCACATGCCCGGGTTGTAGGCTCGATCAATGACTCTCTCATCCTTGATGTTTCTATCTCTCTCTCTCCCCCTCCTTTCCTCTCTCTGAAATCAATAAAGATATGTTTTAAAAAAATTATCTTTAAAAAATAAAATAAAATAAAAATGATTCCACTAGCAAAAGTGCTATTTACACACATTTCCCCAAGAACATACACCGCACTGAGAAAGGTTATTTCTTTTTTTTTGAAAAATATTTTTATTGATTTTTTAGGGGGGGGGACAGAGAGAGAAACATCAATGATGAAAGAGAGTCATCGATCGGCTGTGTCCTGCACGTCCCCTACTGGGAATGGAGCCTCGAACCTGGGCATGTGCCCTGACCGGGAATCGAACCAGTGATACCGTGGTTCATGGGTCCACCGACACCCAACCAACTGAGCTTCCTTAAATAAATGTCACAATATCAATATTAGAATTAAAAAACAACACCTGTGTGCTTGGCCTATCAATGAAGTGTTCCTCACGACAAAACAAACCAAGCCTTTTACTCCTTTGAAATTACCGGATAAACATCCATCATGAAACGCTATGCACAAATCAAACAAAAGGGGAGGAACCGAGGAGGCCAGAAAGAAAAACAATATTAAAAAACTCAGGAACATTTTGTGATTTTTTTTTTTTTTTGAAAACCCGTAACTAGACCTCACTCGCTTTGGAGGTGGCTCGGACCGCTGAAGGCACACGCCCTGTTATGAAAACCAATCCACGTGGTCAACGTGGCTGTCGTGTGTCTGAAAGAGAAACGTGTCCCCAGCAGCCCTGGATGGTGTGGCTCAGTTGGTTGGGTGTCGTCCCAGGTACCGGGAGGTCACGGGTTCGAGTCCTAGTAGGGGCCGTGCACCAGGCAGCCCAGCAAAGACTCTGTCTCATCACTGGTGTTTCTCTCTCTCTCTCTCTAAAATCAATAAAAACGTATTTAAAATAATATATCTGTGTGTCCAGCAGACGTGACCATTTCTCTACTAATTATTTCCCTCTGTCATTTAGCTTTTACCCCGCTTTCCTCTTGGCATTTCCGCAGAGCTGTCCCATCCTCAGGGACTGGAGGTTCCCCGTGTATCACGCGAGTCCCTCCCTCCCAGGACGGTGTGTTCTGCGCAGGGTGTTCAGCAGACAATTATTTTTCTCTGCTGCATGGTTTTCTCCGTCTCCTTGGGGACCCATCAACCTTGCTGGTGTTTCTTTTTTTTTTGTAAATTTTTATTTTGTGTTTTCTGAATTGAATGTATTGGGGCGACCCTGGTGAATAACCTTGGGTGGCTCTCAGGTGCACGACCCTGTAACATCACCTGTGCACTTGATCTGCTGATTTGCTCAATAGACAGAAGTACCTTCCAGGGGTGGCCCTCAGAAATTCTTGAAGGCCTCCAGGTCCTTGGGAGACACCGCGGGCGCCGCGTTCCAGTCGTTCTCAGGATAAGCTTCGAAGTTGGAGGTGTCGCCTTCGCCGCACACCTTGGGCACGATGGGGGGCTGGGGGGGCGAGATGCAAAGGCCTCGTTAGGAGGACGGGTGGGCCCCTGGGTGTCCGCAGCTCCCTGCACCGCTCTGGCTCTTTGCAGCAATTCTATGTGGGTGGGCGGGGCCAACCCAGGGT